AAGTTTCGGTGCCTTTTTGCGTAGTTTTGAAATCAGTGGGGTTGAAGACTGAGGGTGTCGGACGGTCACGCTAAGATAGAGAACGGTGGCCACCAACAATGCAAAGGAGCAGTGTCCACAAACACTCCTTCTGCGAATAGCCTCGATTTAGACTCAAAGTAGGACCCAAAGTAGTAGTTCCTTGTTGTGAAGCCCCTGAATGAGGCAACTTGAAACCCAATGGCACCTTGTAAAGCCATATTTACGCCAAACCCGACAAACAAAGCTCATTCACGCAGTTGATGCTGCAGTACTGACTACTTCCTGCGATCCATCTGCCTGGGTCTTACGCGTGGCCGGACTAATGACGAGAAGCATGGGGCTCGTAGATGTCTGTCGTCTGCCTCACGATGAAGCCTCAGAGCCAGATGTCCTTTGGGATAGAAGCTACATCTGGGACGGTGCACCGAAGGTGTGCAGGCAAGCCACAGGCTGGCCATGTCTTTCCTCCAGAGGCAGCTTTGCGAGTGTATTTACTTGCGGACAAGGGGGTTAACTGCTCATGCCTTCTCAACTCTGGACCGTCTGCGTGCAGGGTCAACAGGGTGGAAATCGGCAGATGCTTCGAAAGTAACGCTCAAGATATGCCGGGCGCTGCCGCTTATCGTCTCTGTATGGTGGTTCTGACCTTATAAACTTTCAATCGTCGTATGATTGATGCTTCCGTTTGTTCCAACTTATAAACCAAAGCAAACTCCAAGGGGCATCGTGCAGCTTAGGGGCGACATTGTTGCCCAACAATCTGCCAACCGGTCGAGGCCTCCGTGATGCAGAGCTGAGCCTCCGGGGGCACGGGGGTGTTTTGAGCTCTTTGCCTTTTATCCGCAGGCTCAAGCGGATGCACATCGGTTTCAGGTTGCGCCCCTCGAAACCTCAGATCGAAGAGGGACTAAGGCTTCAGGCCAATCCGTCATAGTGCTGTGTTTATTCCAAGCCTTAGGGAGGATGTGCTTCTTCAAGGATTGAACCGAAACATACAAGCATAATGTAGCAACCTTCCCAGACAGGCAATTAAGGAACTGTTTGGGGAAGGTCGGACAGGCTGCCCTCGTGGATCGGTGCGAGCGCATAACCCGGGCAGCAATGCCTTCAGCAGCATATCATACACTATAATATAACAAGCCTGCACCAACATTATGGCACACTATACTATACTATCCTGTATATACTATACCATATTCTACTATACTATGCTACACGATACTATAACTATACTTTACTATACTATACCATACTGACCTAATACTGACCTGTACAAAACAGTGCTGTACCTATACTATGCTGTACTATCGAGGACGTCACTGATGGCAGCAGTCTGAATGGCACCTGGTTAGCCCGAGACCCCATATGGTTATAACCAGACAGCGCGCCGCGTAGGAATGGCTGAATGGCTCCAAGCTTGGCAAATCCCACAGACTGAAACTCACTACAAGAGCACAAAAGCGCCCACCGAAGCCAAAAAAGGCCAGCCTGCGATCGTAGATGGTCGCGGCTAGCCACGAATGCCCGCAGAGCCGTGCAAAGGATCGGGTGCCTCGGACGGCCTAGGACCCGGCCGAGCCGTTCACAAACACGAAATAGTGCTAGTACTAGTAGTAGTAGTAGTAGTAGTAGTAGTAGTAGTAGCAGTAGTAGTCGTAGTAGTAGCAGTAGCAGTAGCAGTAGCAGTAGCAGTAGCAGTAGCAGTAGCAGTAGCAGTAGCAGTAGCAGTAGCAGTAGTAGTAGTAGTAGTAGTAGCAGTAGTAGTAGTAGTAGTAGTAGTAGTAGTAGTAGTAGTAGTAGTAGTGATAGTAGTAGTGATAGTAGTAGTGATAGTAGTAGTAGTAGTAGTAGTAGTAGTAGTAGTAGTAGTAGTAGTAGTAGTAGTAGTAGTAGTAGTAGTAGTAGTAGTAGTGATAGTAGTAGTAGTAGTAGTAGTCGTCGTCGTCGTCGTCGTCGTAGTAGAGATGGGGCAAGCCTATCTGGATCGCATCCTGATCGCCGAGTCTTGGAGACTCGGAGACATGCTCAGAAACCGGAAGTGGACTCAGTGCCCTAAGGAACCCCCAAAAATAGTGTCGGTAATTCTTAAGGCTCCTATATTATAGTACCCTTATAGTATCCCTTATAAAACCCCTTACTTAAAGCCTCCAAACGCCGAGCGGCCTTGGCCAGGAGCCTCGGAGAGTGCCCTTCGAAGTCGGGGAGCGGCGGTCGTTTAGGGCTCCAGTTACCTAAAGAGTAGGTTACTAGTTACAGTTACTACATTCCTGACATATTATATACCCCAATAACCTACTATTCAAGTAACTGCTGAACCAGGGCTTGCTTCGGGGGAATCGCCCATCAACCATGGTAGGCGTGGGAGAGCACCTTGCATCCTTGACAAACTAGCTGAAGAATTCCTCAACATTAGGAGCCCTCATCCACTTCTAAAAAGAGGAAGAACCCCAGTATGGAAGCCCCGGAGACTTTCGACAAGCCAGACAAACCCTCGCACATGCTCCGATGGGAAAACCCTGGTCCCACCCAGCCTGTCTGTAGCACAACAGGGAAGAGTTTAGAGCTTGGGGTAGTGTAAGGCCGGTTTAGGGTAGGGTGTAGGGTTCAATTAAGGTTGAAGGTCATCCTTGTCATATAACTCCTTAAGAACCGTCAGACTTCTGGATCCTCACTCACTCCGAGCGATGGCTTTGCTCGCTTCTGAACCCTCACCTCCTGCCGCACCTCAAGAAAGAGATTGAATCCATTTACTGTACCTCATAAACGAACGTAAGACAACAACAGCACGCAGACAGTCTACACCATTCTACTAACACCTCGTACCCCTGAGACCTGAAATCTAAGACACCCCATTCTCTAGATTTTGTTGGTCTGGGTCAGAGAGCTGCGACAAAGCGTCTGCATCCATACCAGTCCCGCGCTGTGTTTCGGCCAAGATTGCATTCCAGCAAAGCCCAGCTCTGTACTGCTTGATCTAACATCGATTGAGCAATGTGCCAAGGGCAAATCTCCGCGTTGCGGACCAACGACGTGCAAAAGCCAGCTTATTGAAAACATATCACCAGCTGGCGATTTGTTAAATCTTGACGTGTGGCGGCCAACAGAGAGGATGTAATCTACCAAAAACCCGCAGCCTTCTCGAGAGTCTTTGACAATGCAGAACTTCCCAGCACCTGTATTACATCCTCTTCACGCCAGACCCCGTGGTGTCAAAGACGATGTTCTGAATTCCGGAAGCAGTTGCTGCCGCCAAGGGACCGTCAACGGAAGAAGTCTGAAAGACAATGGGCACTACACCACATGAGCGCATTTTGGAAATTGTGCTGCCCGGGTTTAGGTTTAGGGCTCAATTACAGGTTCAAGGTTAAACTTGCCATATAACGCCTGATATCTTATCAGACTTTTGGATCCTCACTCACTCCGATCGATGGCTTTGCTCGCTTCTGAGCCCTCACCTAGTGCCGCACCTCCAGGAAGAGTTTGAAGCCATATACTGTACCTCATAAACAAGCGTAACACAACAACAACGGTGCGCAAAGTGCAAAATCCCTGCGTTGCGGACCCACGACGTGCAAATGCCAGCCTATTGAAAACAGATCACCAGCTGGCGATTTGTTAAATCTTGACGTGTGGCGGCCAACAGACAGGATGCAATCTTTTGTCGGAACTCCCCAGCACTTGTATTACATCCTCTTCACGCCAGACCCCGAGGGGTGTCAAAGATGATGTTCTGAATTCCGGAAGCAGTTGCTGCTGCCAAGGGACCGTCAACGGAAGAAGTCTGAAAGACAATGGGCACTACACCACATGAGCGCATTTAGGAAATTGTGCTGCCCGGGTTTAGGTTTAGGGTTCAATTACGGGCTCAAGGTTAAACTTGTCATATATCGCCTGATATCTTATCAGACTTCTGGATCCTCACTCACTCCGATCGATGGCTTTGCTTTTTGCTGAGCCCTCACCTAGTGCCGCACCTCCAGGAAGAGTTTGAAGCCATTTACTGTACCTCATAAACAAGCGTAACACAACAACAACAACAGTGCGCAAAGGGCAAAATCCCTGCGTTGCGGACCCACGACGTGCAAAAGCCAGCTTATTGAAAACATATCACCAGCTGGCGATTTGTTAAATCTTGACGTGTGGCGGCCAACAGAGAGGATGTAATCTACCAAAAAACCCGCAGCCTTCTCGAGAGTCTTTGACAATGCAGAACTCCCCAGCACCTGTATTACATCCTCTTCGCGCCAGACCCCGTGGTGTCAAAGATGATGTTCTGAATTCCGGAAGCAACCTCTGTTGCTAAGAGACCGTCAACGGAAGAAGTCTGAAAGACCATCGACAATGCACCACATGAACGCATTTCGGAAATTGTGCGGCTATTCTGTCTTTGGCATCTCAGACTGCACGAGTTATGACGAAACATCGCAAGTCCAGCTAAGAACACTCTCCACGGACCCATGCCTGATATCCTTGCGGCGGCTGGGGCTTCAAGGCACTTTCGGCCAAAACGTTTGTCGCACAGCGGCCAACAGAGAAGATGTACTTTATCCAGAACCCGCATTTTTCCAGCTGAATCCTTAAGAACTCGCACTTGGATTACATCCTCTTCACGCCAGACCGCGTGATGTCAAAGATGATGTGCTGAATTCCGGCTACTCCGAAAGCAGTTGCGTTGCCCAGAGACTGTCAGTGCAAGAGCTTTGAGCACGCTATGTCCCAATACTCGTTGAAATTGTACTGCTATCCTGTCCCTGCCCTCGCGGACTGCACGAATTCTGACGCAAGATTGGCTCTCACAGCGGAGTTCGCAGTCCGGGTTCATGCGATAAAGACCAAAGCCACATGGCAAAGAACACTGCCGAAGCATCCCAAGCTGTTGACTGGTTCACATCCGTTGTGAGCGCTGGGGTAGTGAGCGGACCTTTGTGGGCTGTTGCGAAGCTGTTGTGGAGAAGGATCAACGACTGACGATAGCTCGTTTACGGGTGGAAGGAACCAGAAGCCAAAGCCGCGTCGTCAGCCGCCGCGTCTTCCAGTGAAATGGGAGGACTAAGATCGACAGTCCAGGAGTACTCTCCCCGGCCCCATTCCTGATATCCTTGCGGCGCATCGAGCTTCCAGGTGCTCTCGGCCAGATTCAGCCGGAAGAATCCATTGATACTCACTGCAGGATACCTTGCTTAGGCTGAGGAAAAAGGTTATGTTGATGCCAGGTCGAGCTTCCAACATGGGTTTGTGATTTCATGCGCGCTATGCCTACACCCTGCTGGGCTTCATATAGGGGCTCAGGCCGGCTCAGGCTGTTTTTGAGATGTTACATGAGACATATAAGGGAATGTCACTACCAACCGTTTCGGCTTCCGTAATTGTGTTCGGGGAGGGCGGATACCTTGCAGACCCAGACATGTAACAACAACGCATAATGCGATCAGAGGGCACAATAGCAAACAACAGTGACGACAACATGTCACTCCCAACGATACCATGACGGCAAACAAACTTACACAGGATGAACAAACAATACCAAGCTGCAGCGCCTGCCCTGCTGGGACGTGGAAGCTCATGCCGAAGATGCCATGCCTGGACTAGCAGATGACCCTGTATACCCCAGCTGGCGTCGGTTCAGGGCTGATCATAGTAAGCACAGCGGATTCGTCGGGGATTGCGACCAAAGTTCCTAACTTGAGTGCGGGTTTTCAATCCGAAAGTCTTGTGCTGCTTCCTGTTCCGAGCCATCAAAACTCAGCCGCGCCTGGACAGGCAGCTCATTTCGCCAGAGTCCAAGTCCAAAGCGAAACCGAGGACATCGCCTGATTCATACTGATAGGGTGATAGGACAGCAAATGTAATCTATGCAGAAACGGCGGGCACGACTGGAATAATCAACAACCATTGTGATCAGATATGATAGATAAATGAAGCAAAACGTGACAATACTCGTCATACCAACGCTGCCGCATGACCCCTCTCCCAAACAGCTGCCATCTCCAGCTTTTTCTTGCCGTTGTGCCACCACAGCTTGCGCGCGCCATCGAACGCCCAGCCATGGGTGTCATCTCCAACTCCCCGGCTGTCCGCGTCTCCTGACTCAAACGATGTCGTGAGCCACCCAACCTGAGGGTTGGTGAAGTCACCGAGAAGCTCCATCTCGTAGTAGAGTTTGCCGCTGGCCTGGGCAAGCTGGGGGCAGCCCACCGTGACCCATTGGTCAATGCCAACTCTTCCCTGTTCGAAGTCTGCTGCTTGCGGCTTCAGGCCAGTGAGGCCTTCGAGCCGAAGTCGCCACTCAGAGCTGAAAGAAAGGCAACAAGTGCTCAGGGTTGCTGCTGCGCCCAGAAGCGAAATCAGCCAGCGCCGGATGAACCACTTGTCGGGTTCACGAAAGCGGTCGTCGTGGCGCTGCACGAGATCCACCCAAACCAGCACCCAGAATGCGCTGAGACAAAGGACGGTCATCAATTCGAGGCACTTCTCGAGAGATACCCTGCAAAGCGGGGTCTGACTGCCGGCCGAAGTTTTCGATAGAAACAGGAAGATGACGGCTAACCCGCCGCACATGTGACAAAAAAGGCTGTTGAAACGATTGTTGTGCACGGATGTGATGCACAACATTGTGCCCCCAAAGCATCCTAAGCTCATCACCGTGGCTGCAGTGAGGAACTTCTGGCCAGGGCGCATGCCCTTCTTCGCTTGGGAAACAAGATAATAATCATGGAGGTCAATCTGGGCGTCCAACAGTGAACTGGCCTTGCTTCCGGTTGGAATGCTAAGAAGCGAAGATGTGACCACAGTGGTGCAAAGTGACACAAAGCTGAAGCTGATGAATTCTATGCTCGGTGTTCGAGCAAGCGCAAAGAGCGCGATCATGCAGGACACGCAGCCTTCGATGAGCCCTTCCCGTCTTTGGTGCCGAAGCGAGGCTTCAGAGAGAATGCCTTCTTCCGAATCTTTCAATAGAGAAGTAGCGAGTTCTGTTTGAAAGAGATCGTGTCGGTTCGGGACCAGTATTGACATAGCCCATAAACCGGTTGCCCCATTGCCAGCAGGCTTACGGTACTAGAGACATCGCCGAACAGTTCCAGCATGTGCAATAGGATGGCCACGCGCATCGTCAATTGGGCAGCTTCGAGGTCGTTGGTCGTGCAGCATCGGACGACACGCGCTACGAAATCCATCCCTGGCTGGTAAAACGGGCCCCTCTCATCAAAGGTCGTGCTGGATGGCCGCTTTGCTGCTTCAAGAGGGCTGACATCTGCGACTACCTTCAGTGCCCGAGCCAGCCCCATCTCAGTCTCGGCCTCGACTACCTGCTCGTACTGGCTGTGAGAATGTGATCTGCACGCAGCCGCAACGACCTTAGTCATCGATGGCAACATGTACAGGATGGCCAACACCCAAAACTCGACATTGACTTGCTGCAACGCCCACCAGATCTCCGTTTTGAAGCAGGTTAAATGAGCGCCTCCCCACACTGGCAAGAACCAGTCCCCCTTTCTGCACCACTGGGCGCAGCTCGTGCCAAGCGTGGCGTTCCGCACCATGTCCAGATGCTGCACGAACCCGCAGTCTAGCGGAAGTGTATGGTAAAGCTGAAAGGAGGCTAAGTTCAGCCGTGTGTTTGTGTCAAGCTTGAGCTGCAGCAGCCCGGGAGGCTCCCACTCCCAGTCATCCCCCAGCACCACTGAGGCCGTGAGCTTCAAGCCAACCAAAGGGAGGGCGACGATAGAATAACCACAAAAGAACAAGAGAAGAAACCCAAACACATGTGCCACCTTTCCATTTGCCTCGAACACCTCCGCTGACGACACCTTCTCAAAGGCAAACATTCCGCATGTGGTGGCAAGCGCTATCTGAACAAGTGTTGACAAAAGATTTGCCCAACAGACCGGCAGCAAGAGGCAAATGAGCCAGAAAAGGAGTGCAATCCCAGCAGTAAGTGCGTGTTGCAGCAGCCAATCCCGGCCGTTCGGCAAAACACAAGCGAGACAAAGTGCCACAAGAAAGCAACAGCATTCCTCCAAAAGAACCGCGAAATCAAAGACGTCCGACCCCGACCTCATGACTACTCAGCGCTTGAGCCGCTGAGGTATGCTTGCTGGTCTTGTGCAGAGCTGACAGGAACATCTGAGATATCTCTGGGAGAACTCGCACTCTCTGGCAAGTAAAGCTCAGACGGGAGTCCTTCATCGGCCAGGCTGACATCCAGCTCAGACCTGCAGCTCAAAGCCCCTTGCTTCTTGCTTCGTGAAGCCCCTTTCCATGCGTGACTGGCAGAGAAGCGTCACGAAGATCTCGCAGGTGGGTGGCCTCCGTCCCGTTCTCGCCAGTCATCCTCGTCACAATCCACTATGGCGGTGTGCGTTCCCGAATGTATGACCATCTGACGCAAGTGGCATAAGAGGCATTCAGAAGGGGATTGCAATCAAGCTAGACACATCCCCACGTAGTCCACCTAAACCCAAACACCTAAAAACTGACCCTGACCGAACTTCCAACTCTCTGCTAAAATGCTCTTGCGCAGGCTACTTCCCTGGGTCGGACAGTCCCCACACAACCCTCGCCCTACATCCGTAATTCTTGGGCTTCTTGGACCCCCCTCAACGGGCTGTTCCAACTCAGCGTTCCGTCTGACTTTGCTGCTGGTTCCGCTAACGATCACAACAGGCGGAGCTGCTCCTGCTCTGCCACTTGCTAGCGGAAAGACGCATTGAGACCTGGTATCCCGGTCCAAGCCGAGCCCACCCCGCCCCTCCTCAAGTCCCGTCCAGGGACGCACCCTTGAGCTCGGATCCGTTCAGGGTCGCAGCCGCCTGCGCGATTCGAGGAGTGAGAACCAAGGGCTTGCCTACGACCCAGGCGCAGCTAGCTCGTGGGTACTTTGCCCCGTGGGTTCGTCGACCTAGAATACGCTGGAAACTCGACTGTAGGGTTTGGGGCTTCAGGCTTGTGATTGCATTCAAGGTCCGTGTCGATCTGCTGCCGGGAGCGCCAGGAAAAAACAAGAGACGCCGAGCATCGGACACTCGGAAAGCTGGGTTTTTGGGGCTCAGGCTCAAGGTGTAGGCATCCCGGAATGAGGCATGCGGTATCTGGGAGCCACAGTGGAAGCTTGAATGAACCTTCATGCAGGGTTCAGGTGTCGGGCTCATGCTTTTGCCTTTGGATTGAAGAGTTAGGGTTTAGGGTTGAGGACAAAAGACTCGGACTTTAGGATTTAGTGGCTTACTGCTTCTATAGTAACTTCGCCTGGAATCCTTAATCTTGAACCCTGGCGTAACACATCAATACACCTTGCAAATCCAAATCCAGAGACCTTGAACCCCACACCCTGAAAGCCTTACTCACCCTTGTAATCCGTCTGCCCCTTTGTCTGGGATTGCTGCGAGGGACGATCCTAGGCCGCAGCCTTCATGTTTCCTTCGATGCTCATGCCCTGATACTCATTGCCACGCTCTCCTGCCAAAGCGTTTTTAAGGGTTCCGAAGCCGTTAACCCTCAACCCGAAAGCCTAAAAAGTACAATTACCGTAAACCCTAATCCCCAAACTCCACGTCCTGAGCCCGAACCTAAAGCCTGAGCCTAAACACTATACCGTCAACCCTAAATGCCCTGAGCCCTAACCCATAAATCCTGAACCCGCGCAGACAGTTCAGGACTAAAGTTCTTCGCTTACATCCGCAGGGTCTAGGGTGCTGCGATCGCAGCTCCCTCCGAGTGCTAAAGAATCTACCAGAACGGGGTTTTCTGTTTTGGGCTTTCGGGTCTAAGAGTTCAGGGAACCTTCATCTCCCTCAAACGGTCTAGGGTTTTAGGGTTTAGGGTGAACACGAGGCCCTCAATCGAAGTAGCACCAGGAAGACTCGAGTCAAAGGTTTTTGAACGACAACTGTGAGCTGGAAACAGAAGCAACTGCACCAGTGCCACTAAAATGTCTCAGCAGTACCGTTCATACCAACAGCAACAACAAGCGTAGTCGCTGTCAGCGAGAAAATGGTGATGGCGATTGCGATGCCACTACTGACATTGATCATCATAATGAAACCACCACCCACAATACTCAATAGCATACCAGCTGACAGCAATAATCAGAGTTCGTAGGGTGACAACTGTCACGGGCATAATGGCCAGCGTAACAATCATAATCATAACCGGCTAAGTAACAAGCAGCACAAGCAGTGTAGTCAAAAGAACAAGGGTGACAAACATGACAGTGATCACAGTTGCTGCTGCTGCTATGGTTGTTGTGTTGTTGTTGCTGCTGCGGCTGCTGCTGTTGTGGATCTTGCGGTTTCTGTTGCTGATGTTGGTGCTGGTGTTGGCAGTGGCGTTTGCGTGGGGGTCGGTGTTGGTGCTGGTGTTGGTGCTATTGTCGTATCACACAGTAGTAGTAGCAGTCGTCATCGTAGTAGTAGTAGTAGTAGTAGTAGTAGTAATAGTAGTAGTAGTAGTAGTAGTAGTAGTAGTAGTAGTAGTAGTAGTAGTACTGTAGTAGTAGTAGTAGTAGTAGTTAGCAGTGCTAATATTAACAGTAGCAGTAACAGCAGCAGGCACATGAGCAAGAGCAAGAGCTGCGGCAAGAGAGGTAGAGGCGCAGCAGGAGCTGGACCGGGAGAAAGAGCCAGAGGAGGAAGATCATCCCCAATGTGACAGTAAATATGAAAACACGCCCTAATTATGAAAAGGGTCTGGAATTAGTTTGGGATTTTTTTTGTTGGGGGGGCATTTTTTTTTTTGGTTTGCTTGGCCGATCCCTGTGGAGGGTTCATCGGGGACGTAGAAAATTTGCACCGCACCACAGCGCCAGCGCTTCGACGCGCAGGATCCCTGTGGAGGGTTCATCGGAGTTTCCTTGATGTCGTCGTGGTCGTCGTCCTGGTTGTTGTTGTTGTTGCTGTTGCTGTTGCTGTTGCTGTTGTTGTTGATGATGTTGTTGTTGGTCGTGGTTGTTGTTGTTGCTGCTGCTGTTGTTGTTGTTGCTGTTGTTGCTGTTGTTGCTGTTGTTGTTGTCGTTGGTTGCTGTTGTTGTGGTTGTGGTTGTGCTTGTGGTTGACAGGGTGAGGGATCAAAAAAAAATTAAATAAGGATCAAAAGATTAAAGCACCAGGGTCAAAAAACTAAAACAATGATGAAAAAATTAAGTCACGTAAAATACAGCAATTCCTGGGGCAGAGGCATAAACAAAAAAAACAAAATAAGGATCAAAAAAATTGAATCACTCAAAATACAGCAGTTCCTGAATTTCCCAAGGGAAAACATTATTTTCCTATGGATTTTCTTTCATTTCTTTAGGATCTGATTGGTTTTTCCTCGGGGAAACACGATTTTCCTACGGATTCCGTGGTATTTCCTGTAATTTTCCCTGGTTTTTCCTAGGACAAGCACCATTTTTCTTTTACCTATGGCATTCGTGTCATTTCTTCAGGTTTTCAGAAGGAAAACATACGTTATCTTTGGTTGTTCCTCGGGAAAATCAAATTTTCGTTGCAATTTCGCATTAGGACGGAATTCGTGTTGTAGCTGTTGCTGGTATTCCGCTTCATCACCTATCTTAAACACACCCCCTCATTTGGCGATTCTGGTTAGCGGGGGGGTTGGGGGGGGCGCAGCCCCCCCCATTTGCAGACACAACGCTCACATGATGGGTTTCGAAAACACTGTTTGAATCAAGCTTGCACGGCTCGAAAAGCGCGGCGGTGGGTCTTTCGTTCTTCCGTGCCTGTTCGTGTCTCTTCTTCCGTCAGCATTCTATAACATAATATAACATAGTAAACCATAAGAACGACATAAGATGGTTCGACATCACAAAAACCGTGTGACATTTTCTGACATAACAGAACCTTGCTTCTTATAGCATCTAATAAACATAACAAAAGACGACAATACAATATAACAGAAGATAACATAGAACAAAACAAGATCTTAGTTTATAGTGTAGTACATTGTAACATAGTACAATATAGTTTTTATATATAGAACATAATATTTGGTATATAATATAACATCAGGTTACATTATGCTAAATATTTTAGGGTCCATTACGATATTATTGCATATTCGATTGGACTATGTAGTATCCTATTGCTTGCATCTTTGTTTCTGTGATTCTTTCATGTTCTTTCTCTTTCGTATTTTCCAACTTTGCCTGTTTATTCTGGATTTATTTCTTTCTTTCGCTCGTTCATTTCTTTTATTTCTTTCTGGTGTTCTTTCTTTATTCATTTCATACTCCCTTCCTTCCTTTCTTTCTTGCTTTCTTTTTCATTTATTTCGTTCTTTTTCTCGTCCTTTCTTTCTTTCGTCCTGTCTTCGTTTCTTTCTTTCTTTTCAGATACAGCAATTCTTGAATTTTTCCAAGGGAGAACACTGTTTTCCTATGGATTCTCTTTCATTTCCTAAGGATTTGCTTGGTTTCTCCTCTGGAAGACATGATTTTCCTACGGATTCCGTTGTGTTTTCCAAGCTTTCCTTAGTTTTTCCTAGGAAAAACACCATTTTTCTATTACTTATGGCATTCGTGTCATTTCTTCAGGTTTTCAGAAGGAAAACATACGTTATCTTTGGTTGTTCCTCGGGAAAATCAAATTTTCGTTACAATTTCGCATTTAGGACGAAATTCGTGTTGTAGCTGTTGCTGGTATTCCGCTTCATCACCTATCTTAAACACACCCCCTCATTTGGCGATTCTGGTTAGCGGGGGGGTTGGGGGGGCGCAGCCCCCCCCATTTGCAGACACAACGCTCACATGATGGGTTTCGAAAACACTGTTTGAATCAAGCTTGCACGGCTCGAAAAGCGCGGCGGTGGGTCTTTCGTTCTTCCGTGCCTGTTCGTGTCTCGTCTTCCGTTAGCACTCTATAACATAATATAACATAGTAAACCATAAGAACGACATAAGATGGTTCGACATCACAAAAATAGTGTGACATTTTCTGACATAACAGAACCTTGCTTCCTATAGCATATAATAACATAATAAAAGACGACGATACAACATAACAGAAGATAACATAAAACAAAACAACATCTTAGTTAATTTATGTCATTTCGTCTTTCTTTATTT